TAGGATTGTCGACTTGAGTTAGAAAAGTAAATTAATATTTTCGTGAGTGCAAAATAAATGTCACAAAATGCATTGTTTTGCAATATATATCTTTGTATTTTCGGAGAAGGCATGTCATATAAGTACGGTATTTAAATTATGCGCAAATAATTAATACTTGATCTAAATTTGTCGCAAATAATGTTATAACATTTAGGCCGCGAAATGATTTAATGTAACATGAAGCATGGTAATCGGAATATCGTCAATAAGTCGGCATCAATAATTATTATAAAATGCTAACTAGGTAGTAAAGTCGGATATTGTAAAAAAACGGTACAATAACAAGTCTTCATCGCGAGGCAAGCGCAAGTATAGTCAAACGAGAGAATACGCTCGTCGTTGATTTATAAATTAGAAACTCGGAATTTTTATTTAATACGAATCTCGTATTAATACGTTAATACGATTTAAAAAAAGTCAACTATCGTTTCATAAATATATTACCACTTACCAGTGTTGGTAATGATAAAATTGATCGCATAAAATTGGGCGATAAAGTTGATAAAGGAAAATCAAAGCTAACACAAAAGATAAAAATCAGAATAAAATTAATTTGAATTCACTCCTTGATATTTGTCTTTAGCATCTGTCGCCGGCGTGTAGTACTGACGGAAATATGAAAACCAAACTGTCCCAACTGCCGATGTCCCATTCGGAATAGAAGTGGATTAAATTGGTTGTTATGATAGGTTTAAAAGTGTGAAAAAAATATCGCAATTACGGGGTCATTACGTAATCGATTTGGCCGTAATTACGGAATTGATTTTTGTCAATTACGTGCAAGCCTAGTTTGCAGTATCTAATTCTGCTGGCATACTTCATAGCAAACCATTGACAGCGAAGATTTTACCACGTTGTGTTGGTCCAACCCGACAAATGTAATTTATAGTTTTCCAGAAGTCTGACGGAAATGGTAGTAGAAATCAAATTCTCAAAATTGCAGAATTTCGCAAAGTTTCGCAGTCTCTAATTTTTCTGGCATACTTTTGCATTACATCATTTACAAGTGTTTATTGTCAGGTCAGATTCTTTATGGAATATTGGTGTCACTTAGAATGATTATATGGTGTCGATGTGATATGTTACTATAGTAAGCTGATGTATTTGAGATAAAGAAATCTCATATAACAATAAAATTCTAGCCTACGTTAAAAATAAGTTTTTGAGTTGTTCCACACTGTTTCATAACATACCATTCACAGCAAAATTCTTTTCTGTGTCGTGTCGTTCCAAGATTAGATTGGTGGAAGTCTTGCATTTTCAAAAGTCTGACTGATATGGTGTATCAAAAACAAATCTCCAAACTCTCAAAGTTTGCAGTGAATAATTCTTCTGGTCTACTTTTGCATTACATCATCCCCAAGTGTTCATTGTCAGATCAGAATTTTTGGAAATGTTGGTGTCACGTACGCTGGCAGTATAGTGTCTTGGTTAAAAAAATACGGTTAGTATAGCAAGTTTATATGTGTTTGAGTTTTGATACAAAAAAGCTGTTACATATGTAGATAAACTTGGAGGCCTATGTTGAAATTGCTCTACATTGCGTGTTTCACAGCAAACCATTGACAGTTACTGCGAAAATTTTACCGTTTTAGCATGTAAATCGTGGGCTCCGCTCCGCTCTCCGTTTTCGCCTTATGGCTCTATGAAGATGCTTCTATTATCGCGTTTTGGTAGGAATCGATCGTCATAACAACATGCAAAAGTTGTTCCAAGTCTGGATGTTCAATCCGCGACCTATTGCTCAACTTTGTGGTAAAATATGACCCACGGTATATGACTTGTACCTTGATTTTCCAATTACGTCACATGAGAACATGCAAAAGTTGTTTCAAGTGTCTGAATGTCCGTAGCGGCAATCGATTATTTGATCTACAAAATACAACTCAGTGGGTATACTGACATTTTTACCCAGTCAAAATATTCTCTCTAACGTCACGATTCTGCAGTCTTTTGAAACAACTTCCAGTCAAAGTGTATAGGACGCTACTGATTTAATTGAATTCTCATTCCGATTCCGAACTGTTCAGATTCGAAATACACAGTTATTTATTTTAAGGAAACTGCGCAGATAGGCCAACAGTGTCGATATGGGAATAGCATTTTATTTTTGTATTTTTATGGCGGAAATTAATCATCTTTTGCTCTCAATATTTTTAAAGCATGAGTTAACTTCATAAGCAACCGAGATTGTTACAGAGTATCCCAATGTACAGTCCACGACCGACTGTTAAAATCACAAAACATAATTCAGACCGACATTTTTGCCCAGAAACCTATGAAATATATATTAAACCCACAGTTATCCTTTTTTTACTATATTGTCACGGGCCGTAATGTCCGTGTTTATGTTGTGTATATATTTTTCGTGTTTATATGCTTGACCCTTAGTCAGTGCTGTTTTGTCGGGTGAGTATTTTTGTAACATCCGAATTTGTATTATTAGACTACGACCAACCATTGTGCGAGAGAACGGCCTGGAAGTTGGCTAATTTTTTTGGTTATGTCTGTGGCTTTTTTGTTTGAAGTGTAGAGTTGCCGTATCAATAAATAATCAATCCGGAATATTGCGTCTTCTGATCTAACAACCACAGAAGCAAAATAAACTATTTGTGACAATTTCAATCACGCCAAAATTGGCGGAAAACAACCTGTGACAATATGCGGACAGGCTAACAGCATCTCTGGCTATAGAAATTGACTTCATTTCAATAATATTTTATTCTTGTTTTTTTATCGCTATTGAAATAATCTTTTGTTCCTAACGTTATATGCGACGGATATCGTCATGTTTTGAATCGATATAATGTTTACCAAATTCGGGTTGCAGTTGATCATCCTCGTATTACACCTGTCGATTTATTCATTTTTCGCATTCATAACGAACTATATATACCTTACTGCTTCACGATGAATGACTTGTTCCTTGATTTTTTTCTAATCGCGTCACATGAGAAACATACAAAAGCTGTTCCATGCATGGATGTTATTGTTCAACTCGCAAAATAGAAATCCATCGACATTTTTTCTAATTACTTCATATGAGCAATATGCAAAGGTTGTTCCAAATTATATGTATGTTAGTTGGTAACTGAGTGATTCATAAAAATGTGACCCAGCGTCCCGTACACAAGCATTCTTGCCCAAGCAAAATATTCTCGCTGACATGATTTTACAATCATATGATCTACAATTCAACATAATATAACTCTGCGACCTACTGACATTTTTACCCGGTCAAAATATTCTCTCTACCGTCACGATTCTGCAGTCTTTTGAAACAACTTCCAGCCAAAGTGTATAGGACGCTACTGATTCACAAATTCTCCTTCCGATTTCGAACTGTTCAGATTTCGAAATGCACAGTTATTTATTTTATGGAAACTGCGCAAGATAGGAAAAAGTGTCCTTGGCAAAAGAATTTCAACAATATTTGTCTGTTGTCGATATGGAAATAGCATTTTATTTTTCTTTCATGGCGGAAATTAATCACCCTTTGCTCTCAATTTTTCAAAACATGAGTTAACTTCATACGCAACAGATTGTTACAGAGTATTCGAATGGTCAATTCACGACCGACTGATAAATTCACAAAACATTTTTCAGAGGATCTACCGACATTTTTGTCCAGATATTTATTCAATATATATTAGCGGGACAGGCTAAACGCAGCTCTGGCTATAGAAATTGACTTCAATTCAATAATATTTCATCCTTGTGTTTTTATCGCTATTGAAATAATTTTTTGCTCATAACGTTATGTGCGACGAACATCGTCATGTTTTGAATCGATATAATGTTTACCGAACTCGGGTTGCAGTTGATCATCCTCGTAACTTACTTATCGATTTATTCATTTTTTGCATTCATACCGAACTATATATATCTTACTGCTTCACAATGAATGACTTTTTACTTGATTTTTTTTTTCTAATCGCGTCACATGAGCAACATGCAAAAGTTGTTCCATGCCTGGATGTTCAGTCCTTGGCGTATATGTAATTCAGCTTCCAATACACAAACATTTTTGCCCAAGCAGAATATTTTCCCTAACACGATTTTACAACTTTCTGGTAAAATATCATCTCATCATCATAATTAACTTCAACTGCATATAGTTCTGTGCGGGAAGATATTTCGTTTTTGCTTGAGCATATATTGTTGCTTTCGATTTATTTAACCTTATCACACGCGAATTCATACTGGTGAAAAGTCTCATGGTTCATTTAACCTTATCATGTGCGAATTCATACTGGTGAAAAATCTCATGGTTCATTTAACCTTATCATGTGCGAACTCATACTGGTGAAAAATCTCATGATTCATTTACCCTTATCACATGAGAATTCATACTGGTGAAAAACCTCACGATTCATTTAACCTTATCATATGCGAATTCATACTGGTGAAAAACCTCACGATTCATTTAACCTTATCATATGCGAATTCCTACTGGTGAAAAACTTCATGATTCATTTAACCCTCTCCGGGCCCCTTTTACTTCTAGCAGTAGGAAAAATCTGAAATTTGGTAAAATGATTAAGTTTAGGTCCCTTATGATGAATTTATGAAAAATTTGAAACCTTCACCTCCCTGGGGGGATTTACCGGATGTTGCTCAGGTGCAACTTATGCCCAGAAGTGACTATTTGTACAATATGCCGAGTTCATCGTTTTATTTGCAACACGCTATGATCTGATGAGTAAATACTCCTCAATGTTTTGAAATAATATCAGGACTCTATAACTCATTCCATGGCATGATATAAGATCACATTTTTAAATTCCCGTTTGTTTGATTTAATAGTTGTATTACAATTAAGTTGCCCTTTACGACTTTCGTTTACCTATTCCTATACCTTATGAACGTCAACAAGAAGAAAACTCAGAGAATTTTGTTTGAATTCAAGTTTATTTTGCTTGTTTTATAAAGAAATTTCAGCATTAATGTTAGTTCAATCATGCCAGAGTGTGAAAAATCAGAAAGCAATTTTTTCCTCTTGTGTAGCAAAGCAACACGCGGCATTTCATACACATGGTGAATGTGATCCCAAGTTTTCGACATCGACCGCGTCTTTCAGAATACACTGAAAAGTGATCAAATCTGTCATGCCTCACATCTCTGGGTGGAGCAATGACAATCTGCCGTGGAGAGCTTCGATGGTAACTATGATCACCTTCATCATTTGAAGGCCTTCCCCTCTTTCTACTATTCATATTAGCACTTTTTCCCATTCTGATAAGGCAATCTGCAACTTCAGAACGGAAATCAAGCAATGGCGTGTGCTGCATGTTTTTCTGTGCTACGTGTCGCCTGTACAGCAACCAAGCATTTGTAACTGAAAGATCGATCAAATAATACAAGATGCGTAGATACCAACGCTTTGGTCGAATGGTGATGCGATACAGACACATGAGCATGTCGGACAAATCGACTCCCCCCATATGCTGGTTGTAGATTTTCACAATGTTGGGCCTGTCCACCTGTATATATTCCTTCTTTACCTTTGACCATCGTTCACATTTATCAACGGGCTCTACCCCTGCATAAGAAGACGCCAGCAAAACAGCTTTATTGTCATACCATTTCACAACACGCAGACCAGTAGTTGTTTCATACAATATCTCGTAAGATCCACGCCCTGCCTTACCAAGTTCCTTGTCGTCTTTGACTTTGCAATTGCGTAAACGGTTTTTGCCAATGGTGCCTACTGCAAGTATTCCCATTTGCTTCAGTTCTGCTATGAGCTCAAGCGAGGTGAACCAGTTGTCAAAGTAGCACTTGTAATTCAAACCCCTTGGCATTTCTCTTACTAGGCGCAGGACAATTTCTCCACCGACACCAATTCCACGGCTATTCTCTACTGTTTCTTTGCCAGTGTAAATCTCGAAATCATAAACTAGGCCAGATACCCCAGCCCTTGTGAACACTTTGATGCCCCATTTGTGTGGTTTATTTTTGATGTATTGTTTCATGCCGATCCTTCCCTTGAAAGGGATCATTTGTTCATCCACGGACTGTTTTTCCTCGGGCTCAATTTTGAGGCAATTTTTACGCACCTTTTCGAGTACAGGTCTAACTTTGAATAATGGATCATAATCTGGGTCGCCTTTCTGCTTGAGGTTGGTGTTATCAACCATATGAATGTAATTTCTCAGCTTGTCAAATCTTTTTCGGCCCATTGCCAAAGCAATTGGTTCAGAACGAGTTGCCTTCGCCCAGTACATTCTGTAAGATGGCATCTTCACCACTGTCATCAGCATATGTATGCCTATAAATTGCTCTATTTCTGCAACATTTGTTTCCAGTTTTATTCCATTTTTCTGGTGTGCGTATATATTGGTTTGTTCAGCAATTATTTTGAATACGGATTGGTCCATGAATTGATTGAAGTACCAATATGGAGTTGGCAAAAACTCAGGGGCAGCAGAAAACTCTGGCCCTCTAAAGATTGAATCAACATCAGCAGAATCTGGTTTTTTTTTTCTCCAGATAAAGTTTGCTGCAGTAGGGCTAAGATACGACTGGGTCACATCTGATCTAGGCTCTTCATTATCGTCCTCTTCGCTGTTGGTATGGATTTCAACAGTTAAAAAACCTTGGGCATGACTGATTTCTGAGGGCTCAACATCATCTGCATCATTGCTGGTCACATAACAATTTTTTTCGTTAAGATCAGCATCTTCAAATTCAATATCACTACTTTCATCTGCTTCATCGTCTGAAACTGTGCCACTTGGAATACACAATATTTCAATGACATCTGGGACTGAAATTGTCTTTTCTGCCATTTTCTAATTGTTCTGGCTGTACACTGAAATGATGAGAAAGCAAATAAAATCCAATAATATGAATTATCTAAGACAGTTCTCTACTATTGATACCACAAATCTATATCCAATCTTACTTTTGAATAATAACTACATCCAGGCTGTATTTTATGCTCCTATATCTGGCCGCTTGCTTCAAGACTATTGAAAACAGCCTGTACTGCACCATTATATTACTCGATTTAATTTATATGTCATACAAAACTCATTGACAACTTTATCTGGTCAAGAAACTCAAATATTAACTGAAGTTGCGCAGATGCAACAATGCTGAAAATCGCTTCCCGCGGAAAGATGTTACATTGGTACAACACTAATTTTAGACCATTCTCAGCTGGGACATCATAAAGCTTTCACATTTGAAATTGATATATACTACATCTGCAGCTGCCATACGTTTGCCTTATGCACCCATATTCAGAATTCGTCCAAGATTAATTGTTATAATTACCTGTAATCACACCGAGTTGCAGAAGGCTGACACGAACACCGGAGACCGCTACTTTCGAAAGACGCTTGCCATGCCCTCTGGCGGCGGCAACGAAAAATAGAAGTTGCATCGAATCAACAAGTTACCGAAGTGTCACGCATTCCAGAAAAAATATTCTTGAGTCAGAAATTGCGAGCGCTAGCTTATCAGCAATTTGGTGTTGCACCTGTGTTACGTATTCCCGGAGAGGGTTAACCTTATCATATGCGAATTCATACTGGTGAATAACCTCACGATTTATTTAACCTTATCATATGCGAATTCATACTGGTGAAAAACCTTATGATTCATTTAACCTTATCACATGAGAATTCATACTGGTGAAAAACCTCATGATTCATTTAACTTCATCACATGCGAACTCATACTCGTGAAAAACCTCACGATTCATTTAACCTTATCATATGCGAATTCATACTGGTGAAAAACCTCATGATTCATTTAACCTTATCACATGAGAATTCATACTGGTTAAAAACCTCATGATTCATTTAACTTCATCACATGCGAACTCATACTGGTGAAAAACCTCACGATTCATTTAACCTTATCACATGCGAATTCATACTGGTGAAAAACCTCATGATTCATTTAACCTTATCACATGAGAATTCATACTGGTGAAAAACCTCATGATTCATTTAACTTCATCACATGCGAACTCATACTGGTGAAAAACCTCACGATTCATTTAACCTTATCATACGCGAATTCATACTAGTGAAAAACCTCATGATTCATTTAACTTTATCACATGCGAACTCATACCGGTGAAAAACCTCACGAACTGCATTTCCACGCATAATACCACAACGTAACACGAATTGACAACTGTAATTCAAAATTGTTCAATATTGAAATTCGAAATATCGCATGTTATGGTTCAAAAACATTAGCTCATCAGCAGTATAAGATTTCGGCAAGGTGTGTAAGTATTATCGCCAATGCTGAATAGTCTTTTTACTCGAAGATAACGTTCAAAAAAAAATGTTCGAGTACTTAAACTGAGAATAGTCGATATTTTGTTTCCACCATTATATGGGATCCTTGTCAATGCGATATCATGAAACATAACTCTCAATCTTCTAGATATTGGTAATGATTCGTTTTTGAATGATTTCCTATTAATAGCACGATCCTCACCCACGGTTGGTTCAATTTCTATCACAAGACGACCATAACATTAAACTAAATCACTAAAATCGTCTTCACGCGACTCCCTTGAGCTGGGGCATCAAGTTTCACTTTCGCCGGTATACATTGTGGCATCTACTTTGCGTTTCTCGAGCGCAGAACGAAGGGACTATTTTTAATTTTTAGCTAGTTTTTTAGTTAACGCACAACACTTCAGTTGCTCCCTACAGTATGAAACTTTCATCATAACATAGAAGAAGTAGTTGAATAGAATAGTAGTTGTAATATTCGAATGTTTTTGTTGTTCCAGAGATGTATTCCATATAAGAGATATTGACGAAATTAATACAAACACATATTAAACAACTTTTTGGCAACCAAAAGCATTGCCTTTCGGTATCATATTTCGATTTATGCCAAAATCTAAGCAACTAATTCTTTTACAACTCATTGCCTCTATTTTGGAATCGGTAAATCACGTCAAATATTTGCCGTATATGCTATGAACAGATTTTACAAAACATATTTGGCGATATTCTCAGTAAATACGTATCAGAGCAGAGACGTTTTCATAAGAATTGCTCTCATTCCCAAAAATTAGTCTCTGAAACAGTATAAGGTGATGTATTGAAGACGGATGCTTCAATATTGGGGAAATAGCGCGAGAACGGAATAAACCAAATTTCTAATACGGCTGTGAGGATCAAATGTGTCGGGAAAGACATTCTGTGGTCAAGTGCAGTTTTTGAAAATTTTGTGGTTAGAGAATTTCAGCTGAAAGTTGGAAAAGGCGGGCTGAAAACTTTAAACATGAAAACAACAAATGAATCTGTTTATATTTATTAATATAAATATAAGCTTTGCCTCGTACGTTTCTAACCCTGAAATTAACTAAACATGCTAAAATTCCGAATTTGAATTAGGTAGTAATATTTTACCAAATGGCGCGTTATACAGGAAATGAGCATACTTAAAACGCGTCTTCGCTAAACCTCGTTGAATTCAAGCGGAAATGGGAATTTTTACGTCGAATTGAGTATGGGCAACATTTATTCACGCTCTTTTGGCAAAACCCTTTTGCCATTTTAATTGATGCTCTTACAGTGAATCGGTTTACATTACATTATTCAGAAGTCGTGGTACAGTTTAGACGGCTTTGTTAACAGATGTAGCAAGTTAGGTATTACTGTGCAGGGCGCATAACGCTGTGTACTCGTGCATATATTACGAACAACGTACCAGAAAAAATGAAGGTTTGTGAAATCGCTGTATATATGGATTTTTGGCTAAGTTTAGTATGGGAAATTTCGAAAAACGGCTTCAGAAATCTTGACTCCTAACCATTACAAAACGGTAATGTAGCGTGGAATATCGTATGTTATTGCTTCGTACTAATCACTACACTTGTTTAGAAGACAAGTCATTTATTTATATTGTGCTGCATTTATTTTACAGTAAATGCAATAAAATTAACTTTCCAAGGCAGATTTGTTTCACTAGCACATCATCGAACACGGAATCTACCAAATGAATATCTTACTCATTCTCGTTATCTACCTCGTTGCTCCATCCTTCTGTGAAGGTGAATGTGAAATTGGTTTTAAAGTTCTTTCCAAAAAGATAATTATTAGATTAATGATTTATATTTAGGAAAGATTGTCGTATTTTACGGACCATAGGGAGAGATTCAACAACTTCATTTTTTATTTTTATCAAAAATCGATCGTGCGCTCTAGAGCAGGGGTTCTCAAACTTTTGGTGTTGCGGAGCCCTTGAAATTGTGGACTATTATTCACGGAGCCCCAAAATAAATGTTAAAATTGTTACTTTCAGATTAATATTCTTGAGCAAGTTAAAAGTACTTTACTCAATTTAAATGCTGAACCTTTTTTAATAGAGTTAATACAAGTCATAAATATATCTAAATTTCAAACATAAATTATATATACTAAAGCTGTAAATTTGACACTTGACAAACATACTAATAAATTCGGGTTCGAATCTTTTGACATTTTTGGAAGACTTAAAAGGCCGCTAATAATGTGCGCGATTGCATTTTGTTACAATCGCCGATTTTTTCCTCAGCATGGCGGCGTGTATTTGAACCTACAATCTTTACGCCGGTGTTTATTCTCCCTAAAAAAAATTTCCCTCGGCATATATATACATGTATTGTTACACAATGACGGACGACGTTAATTGCTTTTTTGTTCTCGTGGGGAATTATGAGTTCAATGTGAAAAATATGTTACCATTTTATAGTCATCGGCAACGAACTGCTGAAAATAATAATTAATGAAGAGGTAGATCCGCAACTCAAATTTCTTGATTGAAAAGCGGCATTCCAAAATATTAAAACTTAAAATGGAAGATCACATGTTTGGTTTCAGCAGACTCACCTCAGATTGAAAACGCTTTTATAGACATAGTAAATCACAAAATTTGCTGTTATATTAAATTTTCATCGTAGTAACTGCGAAATCGTCAATTGTGCGTGCGATGTACCTTTTTTACCCATTTTGAAACTGCCGACGGAGCCGCACGCAATCAATTGTGCGCGCGATCCGTGATGTACCTTTTTCCATTCTGAAACTACCGACGGAGCCGAATGCAATAAAATAAATTTCAATTGTTCGTATTTTGTCCAGACATTGTGATTTTTTGAACGGCGATATTTTGCTTAATAATAATCTTAAGTGCGGAAGAACAAATCAAGTTTGACAAATCCCAAGATCGCAAATATTTATTTACAGTTGGCAGTTTATTACATATTTTATGTTATTAGAATAGTATTCTTTCATTTTAGTAATCCTAATAGTAATCTCGAATCAAAGATGAGTAAAGATGAGCACAAGTACATTATAACGACGAGACACTTTAAATGCTCGCATCGGTCATGGATTGAATATTTTACGCAACAGAAATCTCGTCATCCGTTTTTTAATCGCGAATGTTGCGCGGAAATTGAACCACCTCCCTCTTAAGAATCCTGGCTGCGCTCCTGCTTACAGATAATGTCATTTTTTAACTCCGTCTCTTTGCCATATTTCGGGGCTATATTGTTGTTAGATTTTATCAAAGCTGTTATTGCTTCTTTGAACAATTACAAAATTGGTCAGTATTTTGAAAAGTAATCGAATAGCTCGCGGAGCCTCTGGGTTTCCCTCGCGGAGCCCTGGGGCTCCGTACGGAGCACTTTGAGAACCTATGCTCTAGAAGACGACGTAGCCTATATAATGCCTTCACTCAAAACCGCCTTATAACCTGATGCGTCTTATGTATGAATAAAACCCAATCAACGCAATTTATTGACTGTGCGCCTTTTGGTCCCTAAAATACTCATCCAACAGAAATTTGTTGCGTAACATTTAAAAATTACTATGGCCTGAATTGTTTTTTCATTGGAACTGGTCAATCTCGCACGTTTTCAATATCTCATTCCAACTTTTGTTACTTGATAGATTGCAGGAGGATTGGAGATACATGCTATACTGCTGTGGTGCATACTACCAGTGACATTAGTTACAACAAAGCAGTCGACATTTGCAAATATCGCAACAAAGATATTGGCTTGATACGTGATGAAAATTCATACAAAGAAGTCATGGAGTTTTTGAGACATGAAATTACTAAAACAAACAAAGAGAAATGGTATCTGACTTCCATATGGACCGGGATCAGTTTTGACCCAGTTGTGAGTATTAAATATACAACTTTGTTATTTTTAAAGTAAAGCAACGTCGGTAGTCAGTTGTTTTACACCGAATTTTAATTTTTTTTTTTATTACGGCCTGTATAGCGAGTTGTAGACAATTCACTATGCATAACAGAAAATTCATTTATAATGCAACATGGTTAGATAAAAATATACTAAATAAAATGACTCTTTTGCTATCCAAACTTCGGGATAGAATCTTTTCCTTTTGTTCGCATATTTTTATTTAATACTTCTCAATATTTTTTCTTTAGAATGTTCGAATTACATCTCTGGGTTCATTTGCAAAATGGTTTCCAGGCTATCCGCTCACAGGAAAATATCTGTTTAAAGATTTCACAAACGTTTGGCTCACTGTTTTCAACGATCCCGATGCTGCTGCCCAAGGGATGAGAAACGGAGAACCAATAGCTCAGACTTATGGAGTTCTTTGTGAGATGAAGTTGAACTAAAGCGCTCGCAGTATTGTATTTTAATCGCCATTTCAATTTTAAAATCCTTTCAATTAGTTTGATAAAATGCTTCCTAGGAATTTATTAGTAATCAGAGCAGTTTTGGAAAAATGTGTCTACAATATTTTACGTTTTAACAGAGAGAATATACGAAAATTTGAATAATTTTTCTATTCGAACTATCAATCCTCAGAGCAGTAATTAAAAATTACAAAAAAATAAATTGAAGTCACCGATTTGCTACTTGTGTAGTTTTTGGTCAGATGAATAGTTTATTCAAAATACAGATCGTGTTTGATTTGAATATCGAAATTTGGAATTCAGCAAAACCAGAGAAGTTTAGAGCTTCAGTTAGCACCATATGTCTTTTCGCTCGTTTCGACCGATCACCACGGGGTTAATTTTAATATTATTATTGAAAAAAGATTTGCAGCTTTGGCATTTTTGAACCCTAATACTATAGTTTTTTCACTAAACGAGTGCCACAACAAATAATCTAATACTGATCAAGCGAACATTTAATTATAAACAAATGGAAATCACTGTGGTGATGATCGCCATTAGTTTCATCAACGCTGGCATATGATCCAAGGTCGCTGGTAATGATCATTGATCTGCGACTGAAGAGTCTCCATTAAAGTTCAAATTTAGATTCTACCAAAGATGAGGGCTGGTAATGATAATTTTCCAATCCATTGGAAACGTAGTAGTGACGCTGGTACTCGGGTTCATACGTTCGATATCCTTATCACCATTTATCAGAATAGATTATTAACCATTCATCCCGGGCTTACGTATTTTGGGGTGGAAATGTGATACAACAGTCAACACTAGGGAATTGAATTATAGTGATATAATCGTTGGTAAGTTAATACCTCCTAATTGACTAAACTGAGTGCGAGGATATTGATTGACTCATAATATCAATACCAGAAATTGAGATTCTGGTCGCCAATCTATCAGACATTTTATAGCGATAAACATGCCCAAAAGCACAAAGCTCACTAAATGGATCATCCAGTATTTGGTGAAAAATAAGATGAAACGACGCACTTTAATTGAGATTATAGTTATATTATAACTGAATAATTATTTATAAATTCGGCAACTTGTTCTTGTTGTCTGCTCTATTATTTACGGGAAGTATGGCTGTCATTCGGACAGTGACAGCAATCGAAGATTAAGTTCTGAAATAAAAAGATGCACAGATGCTACCCGGCTTCAATACAGCTTACGTAATCTGTATCGGGTAGGCTATACTTTTACTGATAAATTTAAGCTTGCAAACAAAAAGGTGTTCCTTGTGACAATAACGCACAGCCTAAATTTATATTATCTACCCGATTAATCAGGGAATACCCTACGAGTTATCCGGTGGGATGGGATTTTCAAACCTGTACCGTTACATTTTATTCTTAAAACATAACTTCCGAGTTTCCAAATTAAATTAGATGACGAATCTTGGGTGTCGCTGCTCGATAACCAAATTTGGTTCCCCGCGGCTTCCCTTCCCCAGTAAAAATGTGTGTTAAATTTTGTTTATCTTTTGATTTTGTATGTTATTTTTTTGCTGGTTGGAAAAAATAAAATTGACTATGACTATGTGTAAAAGTAATCAATTCTTTTCGTGACAGACTTGACTTGCAAAATTGGTAAGTTTGGATATTCCTACTCAGATAAAAAATATTTGATATTGCTAATCAGTCGGATATTGGAAATTCATAAAAATTTGTTCAAGTTGATATTGTAATTATATAAAGATTCATTATTTGCGTCCCGAATATATCAATCCTCATTCATAGACTCCGGCTACAATTACCCACAATGCAACCGTTACACGTGTTGTGTCTTTTTCAGCTTCGACCTTGCCGCTCACATTCAGTTGGATTGGGCGGACCCTCGCTTCGGTCGTTTGTAGCTTCAATACTTTCTATCGACTTTCCTGGTCGTTTGCGTGCGACATTCAAAGGTAATTATGTCTATTGCCCATTTCTATGTAATATTTTCACTTATTTTCTTCGTGATTTGATGTGATTAGCTGTCCAGTTTCACATTATAATATAATCGTCGCGATTTTCTATTTCAGGAAGAAATGGAAATTATGCAGATATTATTGTGCTCTACAATATTTGGCATACAAGATGGAAAGGTAAATAAAATTAAGTCTATTACTTCATACTGACTAGTCTATGTTATTTTTGCTCAACTCCTCCATTTTGCTGTTGAATTTGACATAGCAATATAACCAAACAAAGCGTTTGTTTCTACTTTAGGAAGAATTGGAAATGATAAAGAGAATAGCGAACTGCTGAATTTCAGACACAACAATGAATCTGGAAGATTGTACAAGATAAGTACGCGTTGTTTGAATTAGATCAGATTTCAAGTATAAGTATTTTAATCTAGAAATTTTTTTTAGTCTGATTAGCGATAGATGCTTAATCAGTTTCGACCAAGCTATTTGCTTATTGTTAATCGCGCCTCTTTTGTCAATATTATATTATGAGAACGGGTATTTGTTTGCTGTAAGCAAAATTATGATTTTAGCATCGTTATCTTTTTGTTGCCGTGTAGTTTAGTAAGTCGTCAGCATCTACCCACCGCTTGTATCGTGGTCGTAGTTTCACGAATATGTCGCGTATTACAGAAGTTTACTATTCTTTTGTGTAACAAACATGTTGTGTGAATGACAGTATGTGGGTCTTTCACGCGAGAGAAATTCAATCGACTCATGGCTATATATGTCCTTTTCTATTGCAAACGAATTGCCTCTAATATTGCTTCGATAAAGAATATTTATATTTTCTGGTTATCGTTGTATGGTTAAATTGAACTGTTGCTTACAACTAATTTCGTATTTCCAATTTTTACCATTGAAAATATATTTCAATATTCCGGATGATGAGTGGCTTATGATATTTGAATTAATTTCGGTTTCAAATTAATGTACGGTTTATTTTGCTGTTATTTTATACAATTCCTTAGCTTTACAGCCCTAGATAGATTCGTAAATCGGTCTGATTTCAAGGTATTTTGAGCTAGGCAGTTATTTGATAGTTTGTAAACATCACAACACAAACGCATAAAAATGAAAGACGATACTGTTAATCAATCTGCAAACTTCTTTCTTCGTGTGCCATTGCGTAAAGCAATTTTTATCTCGAGCTGCGCAACGATTTACGCTACATTCGCACAAATTATACGCGTTCTTGTAACTTATTCAGGGATGCCCCTACTTATGAGATTTTTTCACAAAGCAAACCTTGCAGTTTCGCACGTAATTAATGAATAATGTGAAGGGACCCCAACATTTTGAAATCTATACAGCGCCGTTGTGTGGCACACGGACAGTCCTGAAATCCCCGAGCAATTTTGTCACTAAATCCTTTCGCCATTCTAATGACAATAATATTTTTGTTTCAATTCCTGTAAAATAGCTCTTGCTACCACAGCACAGTTATGTAACGCCACTTCAATAATGTAAATAAAATACGTCGGTACCATGTTTTGGAACGTCTTCCAATGTTATAGTGCTTACGCATAGCGTCATTGAAGTCCACCCCGCCCATATACTTATTATAATCATGCATATGAGGTGGACATGGAATGTCTTGCGATGGCATGCCACGTCCACCCATTCTTATCACGGTTCTTAGTTCCATTGACACATTGGGTTCGTAATCTGGCTTTTGAATTGTCGATAATAAATACGGGTCTGTTGTCAAGCCATGATTGACAAGAAAAGTTCGTGGGCCATTGTCCATTCACTAGTACCTCTAAACCCGTGGCCTGCATTGTACCACAGACATAAACATTGCCTTCATATAACTTTCTAAAAAGTTCTGTGGAAGTATAAAAGTTATCCACATATAGGTGGCACCTCTACCCAGAAATGGATCAATAAGATCATACACCCCCCTAGATGTCAATCCCACTTCTTGAACCCGTGCATTCTAGCCAGTATAAATCTGGAATTTGGAAACGTACCCTGTTTTTGGCAAAACCCAGTTTTTTAATCCGAATTTAACACGTTTTGACGGTATAAATTTCCAAGAGCTTCTTCTACCCTTGAATGGATTCCTCATTTGATATATATTTGTCTGAAAATAAAATCGAAAAGTAGCGTTGAAGTGGTCTAATCTTATACAGTATCTATACAGTCTATGTGACGTCACAGATGTTTGCCCACAAACTAATGCGGCAGTCCACAGTTACTAGTCTAACATGACTGGCTTTTCAGGTTAAAACGGGGGTGCGCTCAATTGGGTTTTTTCGCTCGCTTGATCGATAAGACCACGGCGCGAAAGATAAAGGCAATGCGAGAGAAGAATCCGCACAGTCGTTTTTTTATTGGTTTATAGAGTCTTATTATGAACAGATACAGAGTTCTTGAAACTTGTTTACTTAAAAGATTTTTGCCATCTGCGAGCTTCGAAAAAAAAGTAGCTTTGCTTGATATATTTGTCTCAATGTACGCGTATTTGACGAATACCTTTGCGCCATCAAAGTCTTGACTCGCTCTGAATCATCTTTTCAAACGTGTTTAAGTGATCTTGAAATTTATTAAATAAGAAAAGAGGTTCTCTTTGACCCTGATCTTCAATTTTAAACACTTACTCTTGTTGGACAATTATTACTATGTTTGCTGGCAATGGTAAAAACGCTTTAAGTTATTAACGTTTTCTAATTGAATGAAAATATTAGATGACTGAAGACTTGGCCTTTTCACTTCACAGTATTGGCGAAACGATTGGTTGCGACCTAAATAAACATCCAAATTACGCTATTCTCAATGAATTCGTAAAAATGAGACCGAATTTAAAAACGCCAAAGTGATAGGGAAGGATTTAAGTATGAACATGTCCCAATAAGATAAAAATTCCGCAGTTGAATCGCTAGGAGCTTTTCTCATATACAGTTGGGTGCGTGAAACGTAGCCGGTTTTCGGGACGGGCTCCTTCAGACTTAATAAATTGGCGGGAGCCTATTCTGCCTTTGAACGAGAATAGAGATTCGTCGATTAAAATTTTACGACGGGGCTTATATACAGATAATAGCCTCGGTTTAAGAATATTCAATTAATGCGTTTAAAAGTTTGTTTCTTGTGGAATCATCTCGTGATCGGGCATCGACTTAATTGCAAAGGTGGAAAAAATGAGATATAAAATGAATTTTGTTTTTTGGCATAATTTTGCCTAACGATGGGTTGTTGTGATTTTTTTTTCTCTGCATAATTTTGCCGGACAATGGGAAGGTGAAAATGCAATATTTCCTCTCCCAGTACATGCAAATCCCATATTTTCTCTCCCAGTACATTGCAACAGTTGACATATACACGACACACATCGCTATTACGGAACCCAAAAACGCTTTTATTTCCTCGGCTGATATTGGCTTAATTTGTAAAGAAGTCAAGAGCGATGGCACGTCGTGAGTTTATATCTGAAAACTAACTAAAACATAAAACTTATAGTAGAAAAGAGGGAGAGTATGAATAGAAAAGAATTATTTTTAACCTATATCCACGATGACAATCATTGATTACTTTAAACAGTAAAACATTGAATAAAGCAATCAAGCTCCAAATACCATGGTTGCTGATGCCAGGCCCCTCAAATGGGCGTATTTATCTTGTAGATGAAACTCTTTCATTCGTATTCAGGTTGTGAGGATGTTATATTGTCTTCCGACGTGATCTTATGCTCGTTTATGTCAATGAAGACTAATCGAGCTTCTGAACGTCATTTGCGCGCTTTGGTTGGTCGTGACGCACTCGCCAATGTTGAAGGAACGATAGTAGTAATGGTATTTCTCTGTTGGCCCTAGGGCCTCCCACTTATCCTACGCCCTCATGTCTCTTCGCAGCGTTGGGGTAGTCAAGTTCAACAGGGTCTGTTTTCCCCGCTAATTTTAGCCCGTTCTCGTGGCTGTGGTTTCGCCGGATAGCAGACAGAGGGCTGAGCGAATCTTTTTAATCCATTTATGCACGTCGCTAATTAGGTGACGGGACATTTGGTATGTCTTTTTTGCGGCCAAGCAATTTTGGCCGCCTCCATTGTTAGCTCCAATGTGATAGTTTGGCCCGAGCTTGGGCCAATTGTAACTGGGCTTGTCGACGTCCTATTAGCGACTCCGCAGTTTTTCCTGACGACATTCTCCTGATGTTGCAGAGGTACGAAGTGTTCTCCAGAATGCGTACAGACATCAGCAAAAAGTCCTCCCATCTGATGCCCACACTTCCACATCGTATGCGGCCCATGGGCACCAGCATCCCCGCTAATTTTTAGTGGTTATGGAGAAGAATTGCCTAATCTATTTGACTACCATTTCACGGGCCACAAACTTTCTTTAATAGATGTGGTGTCATAATATTCTATTTTGCGTCTATGACTTGTCGATAGCGTCCCTGCTGCGGAGATTACCTAGGCATCTGTTTGAGTCTGCCGGCAACGAACCTCAGGAGCCGGTCGTCCCGTCGGATACCAAGTCCCTGCATACTTAGACACTGCTGGCTGATGTGCCTCAGAGTTTCTCTTTGAAGATAGCAGTGTTTGTGAGGACAATATGAATCCGCGTCTGGGCGGCCTCTTGAAGACAACCTCTCGTTACCTTTATGCTTTCAAAATCTTAAATGAATTAAAGTGTCATTATCAGCAATAACTAATATACATCGCAATATTTGCGCGAGTCGTTCTGGTTCATTTGTGGACGTTTCTTTCTGAAGTTATTTGTGTTTCATAATTTTTCTTTTTGTCAATACTAAGAAACCAGAGAAGATTGTCACAATCTCCTTATATTCTTGAAAGATATACACAAGTGGAACGACGAAATGGGGATTTGTTTTTGTATTATGTTGCGTAAACAATATGGCATATTGGCCTTGGTTACCTAACACAAACTCTACTGGAAACATCGAATGCCACTGCGGTAATGGCACTGAATGTACCTTACCAAGCAAAGAGCATATAGAAAAACCTATAACTCCATAATTATGATAACAATCCCCAATTTAGATAATATATTGATGTGTGTATATAAACTGTTCTTATTTTACTGTATTCGTGGTATTGAAAGATGTAGAAATAAACATGATGAATACACTTGAATACATGAATAAGATCACAAAAACTGATCACATCACATTCTCACAAAAAAGGTCGGTCGAAGCACATGACTTTATAAAGATTCTCGTCGTTTGCTGATGTCACATGATGTTTTAACCGTTTTTTTAATTATCTCATTTGTTTAGGCGATAGACCTAATTCCGGGGTTTGGTCCTTATCTGTGTAAAATTAAAGTCTTGAAACGTACCCGGTTGCTAAAACCCACACCTTGATTTCAAAACGAGCCCTCTTCGATTTTATAATTTGACGAAAACCAATCCGACCCTTGAACGAAATCAAGATTTCATCTATGGAGATTTCTCTTCCTGGGTTATAACA